CGCTTCTCTGCTGCATTTTGCTTTCACCCAATCAAATTTTGAAATTATTACCCACTCGTGTCGTGCTTATAGCAAAGGCAAAACCGTTGTCGAACTTCCTTAAAAGGAAAATCCTAGCAAAAGAGACGCAGGAGTTATTGAAGTGTCAGCCCACGCTGGTATTTGTCATGGTGACTTCATAACGAACAAGTTTCTCAAGGATGCTACAGGATATGATTTTAGGAAGAACCCTGATTACTATCCGACCGAGATAAGCGCCGTTTCGTTAGAAAATAATACGACTTAATCCAGACGGGTAAGGAAATCAAAACTTCTTCAAAAGTTAGTGTCTCAATGGAAGCAGTTTCACGTGTTTTACAACACGCTCGTGACAGTCCATGTTTGGAGGATAAGAAATACGCTTTCAGTGAGAAGAAAGCAGAGAGAAGAACGAGCCATTTTTCTTTGAAAGCTCAGCCAGTTCGAGTGAAGCGGTGGCATTCTTTCATTGGCGACTTTTGATTTGCGTCTTTCTTTCTCTTAACGTTTTTCTTTCTCAATTTGGTTTTCTACTTGGTAGCACACATGTATGGAGAAGGAAATGATCAGGAGGATGGTCAGAGTTTCCAAAAAATCACAGATAATAAAGTGTCCTCACTTCGCTCTACTTAGCAAAAATTTTTGAGAAATATGGCTCGCTTTTCTCTCTGATTTCTTCTCACTGAGAGCGTATTTCTTATCCTCCAGACATGGACTGTCACGAGCGTGTTGTAGAACACGTGAAACTGCTTCCATTGAGACACTAACTTTTGAAGAAATTTTGATTTCCGTACCCGTCTGGATAAAGTCGTATTATTTTCTCACGATACGGCGCTTATCTCGGTCGGATAGTAATCAGCGTTCTTCCCAGAATCATATCCTGCAGCATCCTTGAGAAACTTGTCCGTTATGAAGCCACCCCGACAAATTCTAGCGTGAGCTGACACTTCAACAACTCCTGCGTCTCTTTTGCTAGGGCTCTCCTTTTACGGAAGGTCGACGGCGGTTTTGCCTTTGCTATAAGCTAAGGGACTTGATTGGGTACTAATTTCAAAATTTGATTGCGTAAAAGCAAAATGCAGCAGAGAAACACGTGGTGGAACTACGATTTTGCGTCATAGGCCCGTCGGGTATTTTCGAAAAAATGAGGATAAAAATTTTTTGCTTCCTCGAACTGGATTTCCGTGGTGACATTCAGATTCGCATTTGCATGTGTCACAATTTGTCTGTAGAGCTTTTTTCGAGAACATCTCTAAGTTCTAGTTTTTGGGAAATTTGTAGGTGGAACTAAGATTATGCGTCGCAGTGTATGTGAAGTGTAATGCCAGTAACGGGAAAAGGGAAACCGTCGACTAGGACGAAACATTGATTGGGGGCGGAGTCTATCGCGGTGGGCGGAACATATGGAAAATCCGTGTGTGCAGTGCTTCAGTCCGTCCAGAAATTCTGGATCTTGTCTTGAAGGCTTTCTCAAACAGCGATGCCAGCAATGTTAAGAAGAGGGTAAAGAAAGCAGGGCTTTTAGGGCACGAGTCGGGATCGAGTTGATGTGTTATTTTGTTTGAAAAATAGACATAAACTGCTACGAGCATCATTATTGAAGAAAAAAAAGCACAAGTCACCATAGAAAACACTGAAATTCCCCTTGTGAGGTTGGCCGCGTATAGCAGGGAGGCGCGGCGCCGCGATTAGGGAAAACGAGCCACAAACGCAAAAGGCCAGTCCTTAACGCCCTTGCCGCGCATTTTTAGGATGGAACAGTGTCGCGCTTCTTGCGCTGAGGAAACCCTCTTTCTCACTCGGGGAGGAAGTACTTCTCGGGACCTAGTCCCGACTCGCGGCTTCAAATGACCGAACCGAACAGTAGCGACAGCATATCTGCCATACTTTCATTCTGGTGCGTTCCTTCTCTCTAGTACATCGTGGTGCAGTGCACCCGCTACGCATAGACGGATCACACCATGCAGAGCGGTCTGTTTCCAGGCTGATAGCCCGCAATATGAGGAAACGGTATGAAAGGAGCTCCAGCGAGAATGAGGTCATTGCTGAAAGTGAGGTGATGAACGGGGCCCAACCTCAAACTCAGCTAATGGTTTTCGTAGGATTTCACTTCTTATTACTGGTGTGAGGACAGTTGTGCACTCCATGCAAAATATGGTAAAGCTGATCTAAGCACGCTTAATATTCTCGCTCAGTGGGTGGTCTTGCAGAGATATTATGGCACCATTCTGGAACAACTTACCTCCAAAACATCAACCCGTCCACCTATTGTGTAGCAGTTAGGCCGGTCAGGAATAGGTTCAAGCTTTGGGCCCACTTTGTCCGTTCCTGATTCAAACTCCAATTTCTTCGTCCATTTCGCGTCTGAAAAAAAATATCACTCTAAAAGGGAGAAAGAGCAGAAGGGAGGTAAGCAATTTTTACTGTCGTGCTCGTCGCCCACATAAAAATATTAAACGTGAATCTAAAATCTAACTAAATGGTTTATTGAACTGTCATGCCTTTCCCTCCAGGCATATAGGCGCAATGCCGTTATTTGAAAAGGAGAATTGTCAAACTAGATTAAATCCAGCACCTGTTGCGCTCTGTTCTGTAAGAACATCAGTTTGAAACGAAACCGAACACCACGTATAAATGGCCTGGCTTGGGCTTATGCGTCGCGCACTGAACTTCTATTCAGAAGCCTCCAACGAATCTCTATTGGAACTCTGCCGTGACCTGCGGAAGCCAGGCGATTGTCATGTACATACAGTACCTCCCATAACTTTGTAATTTATGGGTACTTTTTTTTATTGTACTTTGATCCTCTCAGGAAAGCTTTGTACCTACTCGGAGGGATGGAAACTTAGTTGGACTGGACAGGATTTAGTTCCGAACAGGGTCAACCCTACGTTGTTACGAGTAACAACAGGGGGGGGGGGTCGTACTCAGTGGAGCTTGGAGGGAGGTCGTACTCTCTCGGTGGCCGGCAGTGATATACTTGGTAATATCGCATATTAGCTAGCAGGTTACGTTTTTGTAAGATGACTGATACTGGAGCATCTATAAACCACGCTTCCCTCTAAATGAGCTTTCAAATGAATCAGCGAATCAATGAAGGGCGCCCGAGGCGTGGCGCGCACCAAGGCAAGGGATGTAGTGCAAGTGCATCCTCAATGCTTTCTAGCACATCCTAGATTAAACATGACATTGGTCTTCTAAGAAGTTACGGGCAGTGAAACCTAGAAAACCCGCATTTTCGGGAAAATGGCTTGAAGAGAACCCCTCAAAATAGTAACAACGAGGCTAATTTTTGAACTGCTGACTTTTCAAGAGCGTTTCGGTGCTAGGAAGAAAGCTTGAATCCTCTAGTTTGTCACACCGCGTTCAGCTTCCCAAATGAGTGAATTTGAAGGAAGGTATGATCGTTTGAAGGTAAGAAAAAGTCGCGGTTCCAGAAAAACAGTAACGCAACCCCCCCCCCCAAAAGTAACAACGGGACTAAATTTTAAACTGCTGATCTTTCAAGAACGCTTGGGTGCTCGTTAAAAAGCTTGAATGTTGTAGTTTACTATACGTGATCAGCTTCTCAAATGAATGACTTTGAATGATCATTCGGAATTCAAAAAGTCGCTTTGCACAGAAAAAAGTAACAACACACTAAATTTTTATTAAATTAACTTTCAAAGAAATTTTACCCATGGTTTGAGAGAGAATAATTTGATTTTTAGAAATCAGATCACTTCGGCGCAGAAGCTCGAATATGAAGGAAGTCATAGCCTTAGAGAGAGGGGTGTAAAAATTGTGTTGCAATTGAAGAACGTGAAAGATTCCAGTACTTCAATTGGAGCGATAATTTTTCCTGACTTCTCATAAGTTTTTATCAGGTAATATTGTCAATATTCCGGTCACTGGTTCAGTTTATTTCATTCATCCTTGTTTGGTAACCCTTTGGAGTACACGGATCTCTTTGAATGCATCTCATTCTTTCGGGTTTGCAAGCAGCAGTGAATATCTGTCGTGGATTTTGCTAAAGTTTCATCTTTGATGACATGATATTGATGGTAAACCCTTTCTCTACACAAGTGTCTCATACAAGGGGAGTCTTATCAAATTACCCACGAAGGGGGGGGGGTCGTAAAAAATTTCCAAAGAGTAACAACGATAGGGTTGACCCTGGTTCCGAATATGACCTGAGACTACGCGTGACCCTGCAGCTCCGTTACCTTACCGGGAAGGTCTTTCAGCTCGCGCCATGCTTCGCTTTTTCAAAACAAGGTGCATTATGTAGAGAAAGAAGCGCGTGCAAGAATATGGAACTGTGCTTCATTTTTCCTGAGCGGCCTTCCGTACGCCAAGAGAGACAAGAAGGTTACTTTCTAGTTTGAATCGGCATGATAACAAACTCTTGCATTTTTGATTGGCGCTTGCATGATATCGCAAAATGGGACCTGCGGCTTATGATGAGCACCTTATTATCATTAGGACGTAGGTAGCTTCTGCAAGCAAAGGTGTACGCTTCGATGGATGAGGATGTGGATACTTCCGTGGGGATTGCTTCACTCCAGTAGCAATCCTCAAATGGAAGTTATGTTAAGGATGATTTCGAATAAGCCACAGTTCTTGGGTTTTTATGAATGAGTCATCGTTCCTGTTCTTCCTCTCTTTCACTGGCCACTCGTCCGATTCAAGGGAGCGCTTACGATAAAGAGGGAGCATATCGTGGAAGGATATGCACCTCTTTATCGCTAATGTTATCGCAAATGCGCCACACCTCGTTTCCTTAGCAGCCAAGGATACTTGGGTGGCGCAGGTGTGGCGCATTAGCGACGAAAGCTGCGCTGGTTGCTGAGCAAGTCTGAAAGCACACCGCTCCCAAAAGCGATCCGCCCACTAGTTGAGCTGGTGATTAGGACGAGCTGTGTTGTCCAGCAGCGGCGCAACTGTAGCAACTCTATTGGAAAGTGGTTTGCCATGGCGCCACCAAACGCGTTAAGCGGAAACCAACGGCCAAAAACGGGGTTCCGTTTTGTGTTTTTTACGGATCTCTGCTTTTTCGCCACAGGCGTACCATTGTGCACCACCACGTCTCCTCTTAACCCTTTAGTAAAATCGTAATCGCTGCTTTTAACTTCGGTGCGAAGCTCCTATCAGGCAGGGTCAACCCTACGTTGGTACGATACCAGCCGGGGGGGGGGGGACGTAGTTGGTTGAGGTTTGTGGTGGGGGTGTCGTACTTGTGTCGGTAGCACGTAATTACATGGAATGAGGTGAGAGGGCGCGGGAGAAAATTTGTCGTTTCAGCGTGCTTATATACCCCTCTCCCCGCTTGACGGTGTTTTTCGAGGGAAAAATAAGTTGTGGAGAAGGGGTCCTGTGGAAGCTGTGGTGTAGGAGGGGAGTCGTAAAAATCTTGCAAAAAGCACCAACGATAGGACCGACCATGCTACCAGGCCATTTTCCCTTAGCTCACAGTAGGATTGTTGAACATTCCAGCTGGCATACTCTCAAATGATAATTTTCCGTCTGAAAGTTATATTTATCTTTTACTTTACATAGCCAGCCTTGCAGAAAACGGAAGAAGGCTTTGCAATAGATTCTAGAAATTCGTACGGCTGGTGTTGAGGTTTGAATGCATTGCTTACGACTAGGTTTCATCCTCTTCTTCTTCCATTTGAATGCTTAGTGGCTTTTGATTACACACTTACTCACGCTGTATAAGTCCTTACTCCGATTCTTTTAAAAACATTCACAAATCACCTTAGGCCGTCCAGGTGGAAGTGCTATAAGCTTGGCAACCGTAAGGTAAGTAATGGTTCGGTCGCCAAAGCTGGAACCCTGGACAGTCTGCTCACTTTTTACTGCACGAGATTAAGGTTATTTGGTTGGTTAGCTGCTATACATAAAGAGATCCGAGTTTTGGTACTTCAGCTCTGAAGTAAGTCTTCGAGGAACTTGAGCACACTTTAAACTTTACTCCTATGATTTGAAACTGTAACTTTTGTGATTGCTAATGCAAAGATGTCGATGTGGTCTGAACATACTTTGTCCACGATTACATGGTTGATGTTTGATGAGATCCAACTGGAAGCTGAGATCATCGCCGATTTCGATCGCGCTGACGATGCTAGCGATCAAGGGCGCTAGAAGGATTGAGAAATACATTCTGAAAAGAATATTTAACTTTTCTCATTAACCATCGAACGAAAGAAAACCCAACTATACATATTAAGGAAGTCAGCGATGATTCAAAGTTACGTAAACCGTGAGAGATAAAGCGAGGGAGGATCAATCTGTCAAGATAGAGCTACGTAATTGAAATTGAAAGCAAGGATCAGCAACAAACTTAGTTAATTGGCGTAAGGACTTTGAATACTTCAATATGTAAATCAACTAGTCAATTTTAATTCAGTGACACTTCTACATCAGCGGAAGCTCTCCACTTAAAGTTGTATTGCAGCGTATCTTGAAAGCCGGTAAAAATGGTGGTGATGTGCCACTGTGTTGCGGCTGAGCTTCAATGAAGAAGTAAGGGAATAATGCTGAGTGCAAGGCGATGACACTGGTAAGTAGCAGAAGACCAGACTGACGAGTTTGGAAATGGGAAATCTGGTACGTCAGGAGAAATGACAGGTGCTAAAGCCAAGGAAGCGTTAATAACGAGCCGACAGAAGCGGGTTTCGCCGTCGTACGTAGGAGGCAAAAAATGACCACCACGGATAAGCGAATGCCGACCGCCGCCACTACAGCCGCCGCCGCCGCGCCTGATGACGATCACATCGCGCCAAACTCACCGTCCGGTCATAGAAACCACGACGGCTATCCGCCACGTCGACGCGCCAGCGTACACCACCGACCGGTCTGTTCTGCTATACATAGAGAAATAGCACATATCTATCGATATGAAGGCATGCTGAACTCGCTAACGATATCCCATCACATCAATAGATCGTCATCAAGTTTCTTGTTGGCCTTTGTCATCCGCACAGCGCACAACGCTCACGCACAAACGCATGCACACAGCATACAGGAAATGCATTCGCAATGCTGTATCTTACCTGAAAAACCGTCAATTTCTCCGAACTCATCATGCAAAATCGAATGTGATTAGCTTTTGTTCGTTCCAGATCCATCGTACCACGAGCAATTTCATTGGTTCATGAAATTGAGCTAACCAATTTTCTAGTCCTCTTGGCTACATCCCGCAAAGAGGCCTTTGAGACATAGTCAATGGAAAATACCCGCAAAGGATCACCTACTGAAGCTTATAAGAATAGCCTAGAAAGTGGCCAAGCCGGGGGATATCGGATTTAGACTTGTCCCGAATAAGAGAGTTTCTAGAGCTTTTTCCAGTTCACTCGAATACATGTTTTCTGTTGAGAATTATTTCCCTTTCTTTCATCTATTTCACGTAGTGGAGCGTAGCGGATACACATGCTGTTCAATACAAAACCTTTAGTTCATCTTAGGAATAACCCACCCAAGTCAAAGAAGTGGTGTCTCGAATGTTCTTACATAAACTGACACCAAACACTTATCTGAGCACCACAAAAACCTATTTCGCTTCATAACTGTATGAAATCCAGTTTTCTTGAATCTCATCTACTGTCAAGCGCCTTAATTTCAGAATATTTTTAGATCGAAAAATGATTAATCTGGATTATGCTGAATGTCTGAGATGCATTATGTATTTTTAAATAGACAGCACGAATTGAATAAAGGTCGGTATTCGATTATTTATTCCTTTTCCCCGCACTCAAGCTTTTTTGATTTTTCCGAAAACTAGAGTATTTAAGATTCCGTCCTTTGTATAAGTTTCATTTACGAGTTAACGTTCAAGCCGTGGTGAGATAGAAATCTTCCCTTGCGGACAGCTGAATCCTCAAATTACTTTCTCTGGAGTTTGGCTGGTTGAAATGTCGATTTGTTTCCACATATAAATCATTGTAAAAGCCATGGTGCCTTGTGTATGGAACCTCTGTTTCTTGTTCGAGGGGAAAAATACTTTCACACAGAAGGCAGTGTTCTCTCATTGAGCAAGAAGCATAGGTTCCATAATCAAGTACCGGTCTCAGTCATGTTTTCGTAGGCGTTCAGCTAGGAGAACTGGTTTACTACTGCATTGCTTTTGGAAAGCTACAGCTCATCTTGGTGTCCTCCACTGCGGCAGAATAGAAATAAGAAGAGGAGCAGAGCGATGCGGCAAGGGTTTTCCATGCAATTCGTGTGACTAATGGGGCTCGTTGGCTTCTTCCTGCACCTCGGAATGGCATGACCATCAAACAAAATCTCATCTAGCATGTCGCTGAGCTGTCAATAACTTAGCAGCTATTCCAAAAATGGTTCCAATACATTTTTCGGAGCATTGGTTCCGCTGCAAGATTTAAGATTGCTCTAAAATTTCCCTTGAAAACTTCCAAAGAACTCTTTAAGAGGAATGTTTCGGAGAGCAATTCGCAGCGCCGACAAACATTTTGCGATCCTCTAAAACAAAGATTAATTAGCCAAAGAAACCAAAACAGTCTGAATATCTAAGTATACTCCAGAAAAGCGACCATAAGGTAATAACTAAAAAGGTGGAGCGTATCCAATCGGAATGTGAAAGCATAACAGGTACGGAATGACGGACAAAAAAAAAGAAGGAAAATAAGGAGCACTCATAGCCAGACCGTAAGAAACAGGGCAACGAGGAAAGGCGCCGCAGAGAACCTCGCGAGTTTCTCAAGAAATCGATCGCGTTTTGAAGTTTTATTGTAGTCAGATAAGTAGCCTGCCTCGACAACTCTATTCATCCCTTTCGAATAACTAGCTCTGGGGTTATATTTCTTCTTTTTCCCGAAACGCCTTCACTTTCTCTGTGCAACCACCAGCCCTCAACATGCCAGCTAGCGAAAATGATTTGATCCCTTTTTAGAAGACTGACAGACTAATGGCATAAAAAGTAGTCGAAATCTTCTCCAAACCGCTTTCAATTATCGAACACTGTTTTCGCATTCTCATTTCTTGCAGTTTGAACTCCTTCCTCGATAAAAGATTAGGATAATTTGTAGGAGGGTTCAGAGAGACGAGGTGGTGTTCAGTGGTACGCCAGTGGCGAAAAAAGCAGAGAAATCCGTCAAGAGAACGCAAAGCGGGACCATCTTTTTCTGCCGTTGGCTTCCACTTATGAGTAGATAACAGCACAGAAGTCGGACTTACAAACGAGTTCATCGCAATGAGTTTGGTGTCACCATGCCAAGCCACGCTGGGCGGATCGCTTTTGGGGGCGGAGTGCTTTCGAGATCCTGCTCAGCAACCAGCCTACCTTTCAAGATGAAGACCACCCCCCGCTTCTTGGCAACCAAATTACTGCTTCATGTGGCGCACAGACTTTCCCGATGCGCTTCCTCTTTATCGTAATCGCTGCCTTTAAAAGTCAGATGCTACTTTTAACAAGAAGGTGTACCACGTAAGCCGTTCACGTTGTGTTATTTGATTATAATCATTGGACTACGGTGATGACCAGCCATTGGACTACGGTGATTCTGTGACACCAGCCTAGCGACAAATGCTAACGGAATGTTTCGATATCCCTTGGATTGCACTGCGCTATGAGGATTCGGAATTCTTCTAATCCAACAGAAGTCTCCTGAACCACCTTAATGGGGATGAGGTAGTGTAGAGAGATAGAACGAGAGAGTGAATTTGGGTCCACTTTAGGAAAGATTCTCAGAGGGACATTTATGCTACGGTGGAAGAGGGGATAGTGCCCTCCCCTTCGAAAAGCCAGAAATTGTGCGGTGCAGACCATACACCACAAGTGACGGTTGTGCGTCTGCACCACTAACATTGGACCTGACGGCGAATTTATCGCTTGTTGGGTTACGGTACGCAGGCGCCGGATGAGAACATTATAATCTACAAGTCCCGCAAAAGGGTGAAACTGCCGTACAAAGAAGAAGCAAAAGCGTTTAGTGCGCTGATTTCTTCTAGATCTTTGGCCGGCACCCGATTTGCATTGAATTTGTGTTACATCATTCCTTCCTGACTAGTAAATTCTGACCAAGTTTTTGTCAAGGTGGCTTCAAGTAAAACACGGAAACACGTGAGTTTTCTCGCTCCTATCCGAGATGGTATAGGAGGCGAAGGAAGGGTATGGCTGGTATTGATTATTGGATAGTGATATTGATTAATGATATTTTGCAATAGTGATATTTGCGTCACAATGTCATTGCGTAAGTTCCATTCCCAATCCAATCGAGAGTAAGGCAGCCTATGTTAGATAACAATTTGGTTATAACATTTGAACAGAACGCGATCAGGGCGATCATGGTGGTCACTCATCAGATCGACCACTTCGATCGCGCGGGAGAAATGGATATAAGAATATAGCTAGGTGGCACTGAGGCAGTCTCTCAGTCAATCAGTCACTTCTCACCAATGGAGGGGCTCAGGTCTGCTCCCTTCAGCAATACACTTGCGGTGAGGTCTCCTACCTGGCGCCACCTTCTTCGGATCCTATCGTCGCCTACCCAATCGTCAATACTGTTATTCTTTGCTGTTGCTAACAAATACTGACTAATAATATTGTATAATTAGAATATCGCTTGACAATTTGCCAAGGACTGATTCCATTATTCTTTAAATTAGGAGCGGTGAACTTGAATGAAAATCTGTGATAAACTCATGCAGCATGAAGACTTAGCAGACTTTTGCACTTTTTTTTACGAAAGCGAGTTAGACTTCTCTGCACATGACAATTTTTTTGGTTTCGCCTAAGGGTGGCGTTGAGCAACATGTCAGCAATTTCACTCGGTATCGTGGAGCCTTTTCCAAGCACAGTATATATGCGGAATGGACAATCAGCAGCAAACAAGGAACGCAACCCTCACAGAGAGAGATCAGAGCTTCCTCGACGGGATTGAGTGTAGTTAGTTCCCCCACACTGTGAGATGACGAACGCGATTTTTGACTGAGATGAGACTCAAACAGGAAATTTCGATTTTCATGAAGCTTCATGCGTACTCTTCTTTTGATTGTAATGAACTGCAAAACTTAAATTTAATTTGTGTTGAGCTCCTGTATCACCTGTATCACCCTGTCGTCCCGTTGATTCATCGAATTGTTCCGAGCGGCGCCAGCCAACGTCTCCATTCGTCCCTTCGCGTGTCTAGGGTGGTCCAGTGGATCCTCCTTGCTCGAGGCCAGCGGAGTCATCATTCCTTTCGTTCAGAGCTTTCGTGAAGAAGTCTGACATCGGGCCGGCGGTCGTCAGGTTTCGGACGTCCCGAGGATCCAGGTCGGTAACCGCTCTGGCCAACGGTCATTCGCAAAATCGATGAGTGTCCGGCCACCTTATCTTCGATTTCTTGGCGAAAACGGCAGCGTCCCTGACTTCGATCGTTGGCGTAGTTCGAATCCGGATCCCTCTGCACTTGCGTGTATAGGGTTACTCTAGCTCGTCCTCGGCAGCGCGTTGATAACGCTGACGCGCATGCTCGTCCTGCTGCGCCAAGCCCAAGTCTCTGAGGCGTAGGTTAGGGCAGGAAGGACAGCGAATCGAAGAGGTGGGCACGGAGCCGGATGTTCTTCGTCTTCTCACTACTCCCTCGATGTCTTTGTACGCTCCCCAAGCCCTCTCCTCTGCTCAGCTCTGGAGCTTAGATCGTTCATCATATTGATTTCCCCTAGGTACACGTAGCTGGAGCATTCGGTGATGTTCGTTCCGTTGAGCGTGAATGGGCATCAGAAACCAATCCGTTTCTCATAAACATCGTCTTCGTTAGGTTCAGCTGTCACACAACTACGCACAGGCACAGTCGAAGTTGAGCTCCTACTCACTGCAAACTAAAATCAACAACCCTAGAAACAAGTTCTGAGGTTCAAACGGTCCAAAATGAAATTGTGGATGCCCAGTTGGCTAAAGATGGTGAAGGACACGCTTTTAAATAAGGACCCTCGGAATTAGGAGAAGGTGTAGCAGGAAGAGCTATTCAAAATAATTTGCTCGGTGGGCATTTCGCAGGCTCCGTTCCTGAAAGAAATGCGATTCCAATCGCATGTACACCAACAAAAACAAAAAATGTGGTAACAAAATCATCTAAACAATACGACCATTCAAGGACAGGCAGCTTTCCATCCAACGCGGCTACAGATTACACGTACTGCACAAGGACCCTGCAGCCACTCAACCGATCTCCACCACTAGCTAATGGGCGGACGGCACAAAATGACGGAGCGCAAGTGTTTAGCACCTCCAACTCTCCAGAGCGGCTTTCCAAGGTGAGGTTTTGCTTCAGCGACACCTTATATGATGTTTGCTAAGGCTCAAGCATCTTTCCTTCTCTTTCCTTCCCATTACTAGCGAAAGTGTGTTTCCACCAGGGGTAATTGCTTTAAACCCCATCAAAAACGCGTCTACTGCCGAGGCCTGATTACTGGTCCTTATGCTTAAGAGAGCACAATATTTCTCTTTCTTCACATCCCATCAAAATGATGGAGCCTTACTACTGATATTACGATGCATATAGAGCAGGTCTTCCCGTATTTGATTCTGCGCTCGACCTTTAATGTGGTCTCTTAATGTGAACGTGGGTACGGTAGGGCTCGAAAAGAATCCTCCTACGGTTAGTGGCTCATTGGAATCCGCGCTCCTTACAGGAGGATTGAGGTTGTTTGAACTGTGTAAATTGACAGAGCATTGAGGACACGCCACACATTGCCTCCGACTACCGCTGCTCCCATCCAAATTGGGGTTTTGGCTTTGGCTTCAGCAAAGGGTTCCCGATGTTTCCTCAGAAATTACTTTTAAATTATAGTACCATTTTAAAGAAAAAGACCTCACCTAGAAAAGCGCTTGCTCCCTTTATTGAGAAAGCCCTGACGTCACAGAAGGGATTTATGTTGTTTTGAAGCCCTGGCTGTCTTTTTTCATTTACGAGCGCTAATGCGGTCTCAGCTCTAATAGCACCGTGGTTCCAATGTAGATGTTTGAAACAGTTGTTAAAAGATGACTTGGCGTTTCCACAGAACGAACGTGAAGAGTGTCCACATCTGAAATAATATTTAAGCCCGGAGGGCGGCAAAAACTAGGGCCAGTACAGAAAAGATCGATAGACGAAATCGTAGCAAACAGAATCGTACTGGCCCACGCTTCCAGAAACGAACATACGGCGGATTTGAGGAAAATGAATCATTCAGTCGCGTGTACGTTTGGCGGGCGGTCGTGTTTTTTATTCATTGTGTTGATTGTTTCGTTTGTGATACTTTTGTACGCTAGTTATTATTTTTCTTCTCCTACGACTTTTTGAGTAATCTCGCTGTCTACCCCATCCAAATTGCGTCACCCGTAGGCTGGCAGATTCTTTTTTGAAGTTCAGCTCTTTGTGCATTCTTTGCGATCTTTGCGGTAATCGATTTGATCAATTGGAGAGTACGCCGGGGTCGGAGTCCAAAAATTGTTTATCAAAGACCAAGGGCATACAGGTGGCAACCATAATGGCAGTAGTCACTCGTAGCAAAGTCGATGAGTCAGGATCCCAGTTTACTTCTGTTGCAATGTTGACGATACAGATGCATGTGATGGGATGAACTATAGCCAAATGTCTGTGCATGATCTCATTTCCAGCACTAGTGAGATCAACAAAGACCCGGTTATCTCAGAGATACTTGCAATGCTTTCTGAGAAAATTCCTGAAGTTATCTCTGCCTCACTAGCCTAGGAGAAGAAGTCGTTTTCGCTGGTATTGAGGAGGTCGAAGGAGATCTCCCTCCTTCTAAACGTCAGGCTCAACTGGAGCATAATGTTTCGAAGCCACTAGATGCCGAGTTGACGACGAGTGGAAACCTTTCGAGATTTTCCGCATGGGTGAGGTTGATTCCGGTAGACCACGGCTAGTAAAAGTAGTGTTACCAGCAGTGACCCCATCGGCGCAGAGCTTTGAGGAGCGCTCGAAATCTCCGTTTAGCCGGCTTTTCTGATATATTTGTGGAGATGTGCTTTGCGTTGAACTGATTTGCCCCTCAGTGATGTCCTGTGTCAGATTTGTTGTAGTTTATCGCCACCTAATCCTGTCAAGAAGGATGACGACGAGTTAATTGATTTGCTCACTTCTCTTGCTTCATCTAAGCAGGACACCCTTATTCTCGGTGATTTCAATCTCAAAGTTGACTGACATGGTCCCACCCATCTAGATTCCTCCTCGGAAGATTTTCTCAAGTTTTTCTCGCATTTTGACCTTAGCCAGCTTGTGAAGCATCCTACCCATATGGGTAACATTGTGGGTCTCATCATCATCATCACGTCATCCCCCATTGTGCGTAACGTTGATAGACTCCCCCCTTTCAGTACATCTGACCACGCAATGCTTATTTCCTTGTTGATCCTGTCCTGTAGTCCTATGCTGGTACCCAAACCGAAATGTCGATTATACTTTTCTGAATACAAGTTTTGATAAAGTCGACTGGCTAAGGGCCTTTGAAGGGTATGTTTCTGCATCCGATTTGTATAGCAGATTTTGCTCAATTGTATATGAGAAACTCTCATTACATGTTCCAATGAAGATTCCCCAGGCCCCTTGCCTGAGATCTCCGACTCAGATACGCAATTTACTTTTGCAGAAAGAAAGAATATTCCAAAATTCTTCTGATCCAATAAATGATAGTCGATATAAGAAAGTATGTTGTGACATCGGTTATCATCTCAAAAAGTTTTGGGCAAATCGAGAACGACGTTTGGCATCACTACCTTCTTTAAAGCATCTTTTCTCTTATATGAATATAAAAATGAAATGCTGTCTCCATTTACCTCTTATTGTCGACCAAAATGGAATAGTATGTCATTCAGATTCGAGTAAGGCTATCGCACTGGGTGAATTTTTCGCGAGCGTCTTTTCGAACGAAGGTTCCTTATCTATTGAAATGGCTGGTGGTGCTAACGTTTCACCCATCCAACGATTTCGTGATAATTTCTACTTCCACCCCTCAGACATTTGCAAGCAACTTAAACGTCTCAAGCCTTCTACGGCTGAACCTTACGATGGGATCCCCCCTATTGTTTTCAAGATGTGTGCTTGTTCTCTATCTAAGCCTCTGGCACATGCCTTTAACGTTTACTTCATGTTGAGCCAGGTGCCTCAGATTTGGAAAAAAGCGCTGATCACGGCTATCCCTAAAGTTTCAAAGGCGCAGTCAGTTTCTGAATTTCGACCCATAAGTATTACACTCCCTCCAGTTAAGGTAATGGAAAAGTTGATAAGAGAAAAGTTGTTGGCCTGGTGCAGTAAGTCTGGGGTTATTCCACCAGGGCAACGTGGCTTTCTTCCTGGAGTTAGCACCGCCACCAATCTTGTTGACAGCTTGTTTGATTGGAAACTTGCGTTAGATCGCAGCGAATCGGTCGATGTTGTTTATATTGACTTGTCGAAAGCCTTCGATAAAGTCAGTCAGCAAAAACTGCTACAGATTCTCAAAAGATTAGGAATTGGTGGTCGTTTACGGAAATAGATGGAATCATTGAGCAATCGATACTTGACTGTCTGAGTAGGTTGTGGTTACTCCAAGTGACATCGTTGCACGAGTGGGGTCCGCAGCGTGGAGCTTTGTCTCCACTACTACTTCCTTTATGTACGCTCGAGTTACCACAGCTTCTTAAAACTTCTCTTAACATCAAAGTGCAGGTTTACGCGGACGATGTGAACACATATGGTTGTTACAATGAAAATAATCGTGACGAGGTCTCTAGAGCTCTGGAGCAAAGCATTCAGAATCTAAACAAATGGGCTACGGATTTTGACTTAGCGGTCAATTTGAACAAATGTTTCGTGCTTCACATTGGTGACGGAGTAGCTCGAGATTACTATGTCAACGGTGCTGTACTGAAGAAATGTGATAATGTTAAAGATTTGGGTGTTTTAATTAATAGCGGTCTGAAGTTTCCACGCACATCAATCGAGAATGTGATTAGTAGAGCCTATAGCTCTCTCTTCACCACTTTTCGGAAAATACAGTGATGCACCCGATATACTCACTCGTCTTTGTCGAGCTTATGTCATGCCTCATCTAGAGCACTGTTCCCAAATTTGGAATCCGACTCTCAAAAAGGACATTCTCAAGCTTGAGAAAGTTCAAAATACGTTCACAAGGTTGGTTTTCCTTCGGGTCAATAAGAGATCACGTGAGGGTATTATCTCCAGCTAAGGTGAGCGGTTAAAAAGATTGAGGTTGACAACGCTACGGTACTACTATTCTTTCAGATCTTGTCTTTGGGTTCCGAATTTGTCGTAGAGAATTGAGAATGCTCCCCAGTAAATACTGGGTCTTTAGACCAAGCAGTGAGAGGGTGAACGGTTTCATTTTGGACTACATAAGAATTCATAACAGAAGTTCGAATCAGCTGTTTAACTTTCTCCTCTACCGTATAGCCAGATGGTTTCGTCGTATCCCTAAGGACGTACTATGCTCTGAGAACGGCCGAACTTTCAGAAGTAGGTTAAAGAAGTTAGATTTACTCAAAGTTTTAGGTGTTGAAGATTTTGCCAACAGAATCTTCAACTCCCTCACCTAATCTCTTTCAATGATTTGTTTTTTTTTTCAAGATGGCTGCTTATTTCGCACTCTTGCTTCTACTGAGCGCAGCCGACTTTTTTTCTTATCAGAATATATCCATTGGGTGTTTTCTCATATGCTAACAATACCGTTCGTTCTCTGGTTCTACTTGGCTCGGAATTAAGGTTTCCCCTATTCTACGGCCTCTGGGGTACCTCGAGTCGTATCTGTACTTATTTTGGTACTGAACTCAAAGGGTCAGTTTCAAGACTTTGGTTGGCCAGCGCTTTCCTCATTCAGTCACTCAGGCATACCTATATTTATTATCCTTTAGTTCCACAAGTCGGTGCAGATCAACAGGTGTTCTGTCGAATACTTGGGCCTAAGTTTCACGCCCTGGGTTCGTATTTAGATCAAAGAGGCCCTACATATTTTGGCCCGCCCGGGAACGACTGCGGTCGGTTGCGTTGCCTATGCCGACTTTGCACCTTAGTGCACTACGCATTCAATTGTTTCATTGAGAGGTCGATGCACTTGAAGCAGCCTTCTCATCTCGGGTATTCACGGGTGACTGATAGGTTCCTGCGTTTTTGTCAACTCACCAAATTCTATTTCTACATTTTGACGACTCGTTGACCTAAGCTTGAAGCCGTCTAGTTAAGGGTATGTTGTCTCCTGGCCCTAGGATTTGTATTCGTTTTAGTTATAGTCGATAGTGTTTGTTTTTTCTTCCTTCAGTTGATGTTCGACTAATACAAGTCCTCGTTTTGTTTGGCCGCACCAAGGGTGCAGTTTAAATAATAAAAAAATAATGAAAAAACAGTACATAAGAACGACAGCATTATTCTCTGCACCCCTTTTACCAAGGCGCTTCCAAATTGACGAAAAAAAAACGTGTTTGTAGTCGGCACCACCGTAATGGCTTGGTTAGGCTTTGGCTAGCCCCCTCTCTGCTTTGGCTTGCATACAAATGTATACATCCACTGGATGACTAAATTGGTAAGGACGCACCTGACAACCGTGAATCATGAACAACGTGGTGCAGTGCTTTCTGACTAAATTTTCGGCATACCGCTACACATAGCATATCATTAGAAAGCGCGTATTTTGCTCTATCCAAAGGTTCTGTAGGCGTTGCTCACATGTTGCAACTTTTTTTCCGCTTTTCTCGAAGCCTTGAATTTATTCGGTTGACCCATAATTTCTGGCCAAATTTCAGCACTTTGATTTATTCAACTCTTATCGTTTTTAAAGACAAATTGATCAAAAACATTACCACCTCATAATCACTAATATGCACCTATTTACTAGGGAACGAATGGATGCATTTCTCCCAGGAGAGAGTGAGCGAGTCGTTTGGGTCACTGTACTGTGCCCCAAACGACTCACTTACTAGACTTCCCTAATCACTTCTCCTTGTTCACTCGTCTGGATAGCACAACACGTTGACGACATCGCGTGTTTTGGCATTTTGCACTGCGTGGGACAGGAGTGATTTTGCAAGCGCGCCGTCCTCACCTTAGTTCCGCTTATTTTTTGTTCAAAATGCACAACAACTTGATTCTCGCAGAATTATTTCGGCAAGGATGAAAGCATAAAGGTCATTTATAGCAGTAGGTTTTTGTTCAGAAGAAAGCATAATGAGCACGAAGAAGCAAAAACATCACTTTCGCTGCGAATGAAGTTAAAAGCATTTATACCTAAGTCCTTCCGTCAGCTACGAATATCTCGAAATTCACAGAGTTTTGTACTAACTGCTTCTACAATCTTTCATGTGAATGTTCACGGCTCACGGCAGTGAAAGGAATACTAGGAAAACATTGAAGTGATAGTTTTGAGGGGTTCAGAAAATCTTTGCTACATCAGGGAAATTTGACTACTCTGGCTGCCATGTGGTTTATAGGAGCTCTGTTAATGTATTATCCATAGAATGAATACAAAAAACTCGAGAAGGTGCGCAAGCACAATAAATATGAATTATATAGTTCTGACGCGCATGCGCGTCAGCCTGTCGTCAACGTGTTAAACAGGGAAAGCTACGAAACCTAACATGATGGTGGAATGGCCTTCGCCGATTCCTCACCATTTATCGCCTCTAGAACTCCTCTACTTTCAGCAATCATGATTGCTACTTTCAGCACACATAATGTGTAAACTCACCAAATGTCGTCAAGGAAAAGTAAATCGAAATGTTTTCTACTACGAATGAAAGCGTTGGTTTAAGTCGAGATATGCACATTTCACAGTCGTCGTCAAGGTCTGAACCAGCAAGAACTTAGCACATATCAGGAAAACCATAAGGCGATGCTGCCAAAAAAACACTAAGACTCGTGGAAACACACACTGATAAGTGCTCCGCTTCTCAAAACGAGATTCGGCCTACAACCACCTCAGAGATGCCCAACTGTCTGTATTGAGAAATCTTATGTCACACTGCCCAAAACACCAACAGCTACTGGAAACACTCGATTCAACAGCTAGTGAAAACACTGGAAGGGGTAGCTATGCCTCTTTTAAAAGCGATAAATTTTCGCGTAACTCAATCTATTGGCTACCTCGGTGAAACTCCAGTTCAGGGGGCCCACTCCACTCTTTCTCCAATACTCAAGATAAGGATTAGAGGGCTCCCGACACGTAATCGAGTAATTTGAAGTAGACTTCTGATAAATATTGGTGTAATGGGTGAGAAACCCTGAAACGTTTTCACATTTCCGCCTGCCATGACCCAAGGGAACTTTCTTGGACCAGGAGAAAGGACACCCCCGCAAAGGGCTAGGGGTACAGGAGCTCCAGGGTGGATCACCTGTGCAGAAAAGTGATGGGATGGGGGCAGGTAGTGTGGGATGTAGGACATCCAATGTACGCTCGAAATGAGTCGTTCACTTATTATCTTATCCGTAGTATTCGATAGCCCAAAGAACTGCTCTCTAGTACTACGGATAAGATAGCAATGGAGTGCCCCCCCCCCGAACTGGAGTTTCACTGGCTACCTCTCCTTATTAGATGGCTATTACATGGAATGGTCAGTTAGCCAGCCCGACCACATGTAATGGGAAGTAGTACGATGCACGCGTTTTACGAGGCTGAACTCCAATCCGTTTTCAATATCTGCGGAACGATTCTCTGAAACGGATTACCAGGGATGCTTCTCACTGTGGCTTTCTCAACTGTGGTGCTCTCGCTGAGGTCACTTGTACAAACCTGGGAAGTTCGTGAAAAATTCTTGCATTTCGTGGCTCCTGAGGCAAGCCCAAAAACCCTTCATCTTTTCGCGACTCCTCAGGCAAACCTAGAAAGCGATCATCTCCAGTTATGTCGTTGGTTTGCGACCCCACTTCATGGAAGAGGCAGGTTCTGGAATTTCCTCCTGCGCTTCTTTTCGAGTTTTTTTTTAATAATGATGAGCTTTGGCACCCAGAACAAAGCACAACGGCACAGACCCAGACAGGACACTCATAAATATACAAATTTTCAATAACGTACGAGCATATGTGACAGTACCTCACAAAGTAACCAAAACATATCAGTGCAAATAAAAAATAAAAGTCGACGCGGATACAGTGAGCGCAACAATGTGACGAATCCCTCATCACTTCTTTCAGAGGATCGTTTGGCAGATATGGAAAACGGATTTGAGCTCAGCTTGGAAATACACCTCATCACATAGGGCAGACTGACCAATGCTGTGAGGCTGCTTAAAGGAATCTTCCACGGATCATGGACCAGTGGATGGGACCGGTAGTGGTTTTGCGATGAAATGCATAGTAGGTATGGATCCACGTTCATGGGAAGGTTTGAAGTGAATCCTGCTCACGTTCGTGCGTTCCACACGTGGTTCCGTACCTACCATGCATTTCGTCACAAAAACTTCCGGTCCCGCCCACTAGTCCATGGTCCGTGGAAGATTCCTTTAGCGGCTGGGGTGGGAATGGAACTAGATACGGAATAACACTATGACGCAACAGATCATCAAGATAATGAAAGTAGCCCTCGTACGTATCCTTCTTCAACTCTGATGGGACGATAAAATTGAAGTGTTCCCACGTGGCACTACAACTCAGCTCGACAAAAGGTAATTGGTCAAGAGTTGTCCACTACAACTAGTCAGGAATGAACGAAGTGACACAAAACTAATTCGAATCGAGTATCGAGCCATCAAAAATCTCGAGGAAAAACAAGCTGGTTTTTAAGACCGATGAGTGGCCGCTGCCGTAACCCCCGTTGACCTGGAGCGCGCAGATACACTACTTCTGTGTACCCGCGCGTTCCGGAGCCAACGTGAGGGGCGCAATGCCCTTGGGCGGCTACCAAAAATGCACGCAGCATTCGC